GTAGTTGTGTGAACAGAACAAGGAATGTTCTGCATGTCTGAAAGCATGTTTAGAATCAGGAAAGGTATGTTTCAGGGTTGTATCCTCTCTTCAAGCGGTATGCTAAGCAAATAATCAGAGAAGGTAGATTATATCAGGATTGGAGGAAGGCTTCTTAACAACCTGAAATATGCAGATGACACAACCTTGCTCGCTGAAAGTGAGGGGGAGTTGAAGCACTTGCTGGTGAAGATCAAAGATTGCAGCAGCATGGATTACAATTCAATGTAAAGAAGACCAAAATCCTCACAACTAGACCAGTAGGTAACATGATAAATGGAGTAAAGATTAAAGTTGTCAAGGATTGCATCTTACTTCGATCTGCAATCAATGCCCGTGGAAGCAGCAAAGATCAAAAGATGCATTGCATTAGGTACATCTGCTGCACAACACTTTAAAGTGTTGAAAAGCAAGGATGTTACTTTGACAACAAAGGTGTCCCTGACCCAAGCCATGGTATTTCCAATAGCCTCATATGCAGGTGAAAGTTGGAGAGTGAATCAGGAAGACAGAAGAAAAATGGATGCATGTGAACTGTGGTGTCGGTGAAGAATACAGAAAGTACGATGGACTGACAAAAATACCCCACAGATCTGTCTTGGAAGAAGTACAGCCAGAATGCTCCTTGGAGACAAGGTGGTGAGACTTTGTCTCACGTACTCCGGACGTGTTGTGAGGGACTGGAGAAGCTGTATGCTTGGCGGAGCGGAGGGGCAGTGAGAAAGAGGAAGGCCCTGGATGGGAGGACGGACGCGGTGGGTGCAGCGGTGGTGAAGAACTGTAAAGATGGCACAGGACTAGCCGTGTCTCCTTCCATCGTACACAGGATCACTGAGTCAGAACTGACCCCGGGGCACCTGACAACTAACAATAACTCTGTGTGGCTCACACCCATCACCCTTTTCTGAAGGTTCTTCCTATAATCATACTTTAACTAAAAGAACATTTTATTGGGGGCTCTTACAACTCATAATAATCCACACATCAATTGTATCAAGCATATTTGTACCTATGTTGCTATCATTCTTTTCTAGGCATTTACTTTCAGTTGAGCCCTTGGTATCAGCTCCTCTTTTTTCCCTCCCCCATCCCAATCATACATTTTTATAAATTAAGGGAGTGAGCTGGAATGGCTTTGTTTACTTTATTCATTCGTTTTATGATAAAACCCCTAAAATACTATTTTAGTAAAATAATGAATAAAATACAGGTAAGTCAGAGCTGTCTTTTATTTTTAAGCTTTCAAAATATATTCTAATGTTAATATGGTAAAATAAGCATTTATATGTCATTAGAAACTTTTAAATTTTTATTCTGTGCATCTTTGGCACCTAAACCATGATCATTTCAATTATATCACTGTTTCCTGTTCACAGTATTTTTCCTCCTTTAAACGAAAGACTTTTAGTCTGATTTTCCAGTCAAGATGTTTGGCAAAGTCTTAAGATCATATGTGATAAGATTTTTCCCAAACCCAATGACACTCTGGACCTTCAGTTTAAAGGTTGGAATTAAATCTAGCTCACAGGTTTGGTTATCTTACTATCCATGATGGGTCCTTAGCAATTTTTACATTCTCTGGTCCAAGTAAAGCCAACCCATGTGTGCACTTCCCAATGCCAAGGTACCTGGAAAGAAGTAACAGATGAGCAGTCAGTACTATTTCTAACATTAATAAGAGTTTTTGTTTCTAATTAATATTAAGCCACACCATGCATACTCACTTATGGCTCACATCGATAAGTTTGTCGTGACTGACGGCAAAGAGCTGTTCCCGATGTGCCTGCTTTACCTCGTCAGCCAGTCCATACAAGAAATGGTCCATACCTGAAAGTTAAATTATGGTGCAAATGGAGTAGTTGGCTAGAGTGGCTAGACTCTTGGTTGGGATTCTGACATTGTTACATGGGCAAATTTATGTGCATATTCAAAAAGGGAAATATTTACATGCTCTGGGTATTCAAATTACGCTTAACTTTCTCTCATTTCATCTTGACTCATCTCAGAACCTCGCTGACTGCTCACTTTTGAACGTAGGAAAAAGAAAGAGTAAAAGTCACATAAGGTTGATATAAGCAAAAATGACCACAGTAATGTGGTTATTCATGTGTTGTGTCAAAACATTCTCCTTCAGCCCCAGCTCTACAATGGTCAGACTCGATTCTTTCCCAATGGCAAATACCCACATGTCCATGTCTGGGTGAATAAATGAAAATGACGTCAAGGTGTCTGTTTTTAAGGGCAATGTTTAGGTTGTCAGATGTAAAAACTCATATATAAAGAAAAAGGGCAGGGAGATGGGATGGGGGACACACAAGTGGTTTTTCTGAAATGCTATGCGCTGCCGCTCTTGCTCTTGCAGAGGAAAGCAGCTCTTTCTTTGCTTGGGAAGAAGACTTAGTTGCGTGGAATTCTGTCAGGCACAATAGTACATCAAGTTTATGATATGCTCAAAATACCTTTGTCTGAAGGCGCCACAGGAGCATCCACACCCGAGAACACGGAAAGCTTTGCTTCATCGATGTCCTGCTGTGTGAATTTTCCAGACTTAGCCCAGTCAACAGCTTTTCCAAAGGCCTGCAGAGTTTCTATTGAGTTTGGATCCCTGGAAATGTCACGAAGTTAAACACTTAACCACTGTACCACTGGGAAAATCATTCAGTCACATACTGGCTCACAGCCCCTCATCACTTCCTGCTCATTAGGGCTCTATTTCCATGCTTCAGAGTCCAAAGGCCCACAGGTACAAATCAAGTCCCACCAATAAAAATTTAAATCTGACCACTTCATAAACCATTCAACATATTATCCCTCTAACTACAGAAATACACCCACCTACCTATCTAAATATACCTCTCTGTTTTCTTAGGATGTTAACAGGACCAAGGAATGAAGGAAAGCCTGGATTCCAATAAAATTAAGAAAAGGCTCATGTGGTTCTGAGTCAGAACTGACTCACGGGCACAGGACATGTGGAAAAGCTAAAAGGTTACATTACATCCAAGTTTTCACTCACATAAGACATACCCAGAATAATTTACAAGTTATGTATAGTTGAACCAGTAGATACTTTGTCTAAAAGGAAAGAAAGCCTCCATGGCCCCTTATTTATATAAGCATAGTAATAAACCTGTCTTACTGTAGAGATGCCAAGAGTCACTCCCTATCTAAAAGAGATGGTTCTGGCACAGACAGACTGACCAAGTATTAGTGGTCAAGAGCAAAGGGATAAGTGGATTGGAGTGCAAAAACTTAAGCCTAACCTTAGCGTCTAAAAAATATACTTTCCAGGAAACAGGAGAGAAAATTAATAATTACTTTAAACAAAAGGGCAATAGTCTTGTAGCTATGGAAATTTAAAGAGGTCAGTACCCACCATGGCTATGTAGCGATAGAAATTTAAAGAGGTCAGTACCCACAAAGGCTAAGTAGCGATAGAAATTTAAAGAGGACAGTACCCACCATGACCATGTAGCGATAGAAATTTAAAGAGGACAGATCCCACAAAGGTCCCGATGATTAAAAGTAGCCTAGAAAGCTCTCAGAATGTCTTCTACATACACATGCTAAGGATACAAATTCTATAAAATACAGAATTTACATAAAGTAAAATGGTTTCTATTATATGTCACTGTCCATAAAACCTGACAACAGAAAGGATACTGTTAACCATGATTATATGTTTTAAGATCTGGGGGATAGATGAGTGGAAACAATTATTCTTTTGCTAAATCCACTCCAATGCATAAAAACACTGATTCTGAAAAGAATAAATGTCAAGAACTGAAATTGTGTATGTATGTACAGAAAAACTTACCTATAAGAGTAAAGAGTGAATATTCCATTACGGCCAAGTTTAGCACCTCCACCATAAGCACCACCTTTTTCCCGAATTTCTGTATGTAAGAATTTAGTAGTCATCAAGCGTGCAAGGATCTTAAGACTGAAATTAAAATTAAAAATGCAAGTTAAGCATATTACTGATATGGATAAAAATATTACTGATAGATTATACAAAGAAAAATAGAGACATGACATCAAATTAGAGAAAGTCAAGTTGTACAGTACTGCATACCAATGGTCCCATTGCTCTAATTCAACAATAAAAACAAAACTAGGAGAAAAATGAAAATAATAATAATTTTCAAATTGTTTCCTTGAAGTCCGGGAACTGGGAAGTAGAGTTAAGAATCAGAGGAAGAGAAGTGGAGAGGGGATATAAGCATTTTCCTCAAACATTTTTAATCTGTGTATTTAGCTTAACTTGTGAGGTCATCTGTTCAAACCACCAGCTACTGCGAGGGAGAAAAGAGGTACCATCTCAGAAACCAGCAGGGTCACTTCTACTCTGACCTGTTGGGTCACCATGAGGCAGAATTGACTCCTGGCAGGGAATTTTTTGTTTGTTTATATGAATTTTTAAAATTGGATCAAGTAAAATACAAGAGATTTTTTATTGCTAAGGCAGAAACATCTAATTATATGTCCTATAGCATAAAATGTTGAGGGGGAGATAGAAACTAATATAAATCTCTTGGACTGATTTTTACAGGTATCTCTACCTATGTAACCTTCTATAAACAAAGCCTGTTTTCTGCTGACAATGGCAATAGTTGATGCTCTGGAAGAGAAGAAGGACTGCTCAAGAGCAGGGCCATGCTCTACTTGACCGGGCCAGCCAACCCTGCGACACCTGGCGGCGAAGCCTGGGCAATGTCTGACGAGAAGAAACAGGTGTGTCATGTCTATGTTAAGCACTCAGGTCCCAAATGACACTACCTGCAGAACTGACCTTATTCTAAAAAAGATGATGATGATACACTAGATGAAGAAGTAAATGCTCGGGTGAAATACAATGGGAATAAAACAGAGCAGCGGGGAGCAAAACAATGAAGTCTCTGAGGAATCCCAAAAACAAACTTCAGGGGCAGGGCATGGCACCTCATCTCAGACTTGATCGGAAAGAATTCATAAGGGCCAACAGACAGACCTGGAACTATTTATAGGCTTTTTTCTTTTTTTTTTTCATGTCTAGCTATTTAAGATAGGCAGGATAAAAAACCCCAAGGAAAAAACAACATGACTGACGGTCCTGGGAGGGGGGACAAGAAGAGGGGAAGGTGAGAGAATGGAAGGGGTGAGCCACAAACCCAGGGACAAGGGAATAACAAGTGATCTAAAATTGATGGCAAGGAGGGCGTAGAATGCCTAGTGGGGTTTGATCATGTGCAATGTAGCCGAGAGGAATTACTGAAAGCTGAATGAAGGTATAACATGATAGTGGGACAGGAGGAAAGTAAAAGGAAATAGAGGAAAGATGTAGGAGGCAAAAGACATTTATGGAGGTATAAATACAGCATATACATAGATATGTAAATATATTTATATATAACAATAGGGATATAGGTCTATGTACATATATTCATATGCTAAGTATTTTTTAATCATTTTATTGGGGCTCATACAATTCATCAAAATACATAGATCAATTGTGTAAAGCACACCTATACATTTGTTGCCCTCATCATTCCCAAAATTCGCTTTCCTCTTGGGTTCCCGGAATCAGCTCATTTTCCTTTTTTCCCCTCCCCCTCCCCTCCCCCCTCCCTCATGAACCCTTAATAATTTATAAAGTATTATTATATCTTATCTAATATGCTAAGTATTAAGGTAGCAGACCAACATTGGGCCTCTATTAAAGTACTCCTTCAACACAAGAACACTTTGTTCTAATAACCTAGCCTTCTGTGATGCTCACCTTCCCAACACTATCACTGATGATAAAATGGGTGCAAAGCAAATGTGGTAAAGAAAGCTGATGTTGCCCGGCTATCAAAAGATATAGCATCTGGAGTCTTAAAGGCTTGAGATAAACAAGCAGCCATCTAGCTGAGAAGCAACAAAGCCCACATGGAAGAAGCACACCAGCCTGTGTGACCACAAATTGTCAACAAAACTTTCAAAAGACCCAAAACAAACAATCCTATCAATGCAAACAAGGAAGGCCGGAGTGGAAACCGAAAGCCCATCTGTAAACAACTGGACATCCCCTCACAGAAGGGTAACAAGGAAGGGACGAGACAGCCAGCTGCAGTACAGCACCAACAAAACATACAACATCCCTTTAGTTCAATACTTCCTCCCTCCAACTATCATGACCCTAGTTCTAGCTTACAAATCCGGCTAGACCAGAGCATGGACACTAGTACAGATAAGAGCTCTCAACACACGGAAACCCAGGACAGATAAATCCCTCAGAAACAATAATGGGGAATAGCAGTACCAGAGGGCAGGGGGAAGGTGGGGGCAGAAAGGAGAAACCAACCTCAGAGATCGACATATAACCTCTCCTCCCCCAAGGTGATGAACACAGAAACCTGGGCAAAGTGAGACAGCGGATAGTGTAAGATATGAAAATAATGTTATAAATTATCAAGGGTTCATGAGGGTAGAAGAGTGGGGTAGGGAGAGGAAAAAAGAGAAGCTGATAGCAAGTGCTTAAGAAGAAAGAAAATGTTGAAAAAGACATGAAAAAGATAATAATTTATAAATCATCAAGGGTTCATGAGGGAGGGACAGAGAGGGAGGGGAAAAAATGAGCTGATACCAAGGGCTCAAGAAGAAAGAAAATGCTTTGAAAACGATGATGGCAACATATGTACAAATGTGCTTGAGACAATGGGTGTGTATCTAGATTGTGATAAGAGTTGTACGAGCCCCAATAAAATGATTTTTTTTTTTAAATTGAAAAAGATGATGGCAACATATGTACAAATGTGCCTGATAACAATGGCTGTATGGATTGATATTAAGTGCTGTAAGAGCCCCAAATACAATAATTTATTAAAATAAAATTTCAAAAGACAAATTAAATGAGCAAATGATTAGCAGCATGTTCATAAAGATCATGATGGGGAAACAGGCCGCCACCCTCTTCTCCTCTGAGTCAGTGGAAACATGAAGGGCCAAGACCACATTGCGATTTCATTAATAGTTTCCACGGAAGTATTAATCTGTTGGAAATTAAAAGAAAGTAAAAATGCCAACACTTTGAGGTGAAATGCCTATGAAGAACAGTGTTTCTAGACTTGCCATGAGACTAATTTTATCTATTTAAAGATTGAGAAATGACTAGTATGGGTTATAAGGAGCCGGGCGTGGCATAGGCAGGTAAGGGTTGAGCTGCTCACTGTGAGGTTAGCAGTTTGAACCCACAAGCCTTTCAGGTGAACCACGTAAGGGCTGACTGTGGTGGCAAGCGCACCAATGGTGATTCTATGGTCCTTAGCCATGTTTCTGTGAGCCTTCTCTCTCTTGCCTTCTCTTTGAGGTCTTTACAATCTTCCTGAAAATGCTTGATTTGTCTGAAAACTATTGTTTTATGTAGCAGAGCAATCTAGTAAACTTGCTGAAAAGCTTCCATGATTTGAGAAGGTGTTCACTTAAACTTTGTTTGAAATTTGATCGATTGTTTTTCCACACCACAAAAAGTATCCTTTTTATTTTAAGGCCCCCTAAAGGAGACAAAAAGGAGCTTTGATGGTGCTGTGGGCCAGGCGATGGGTTGCTAACCCAGATGGTTGAGAATGAGGAGGGTCGGAGCGGAGCCCCAAAACCCATCTGTAGACAATGGGACATCCCCCCCAGAAGGGTCACAAGGAAGGGGTGAGTCAATCAGGGTGCAGTATAGCACTAATGACACACAATATTCCTCTGGTTCTTTGAGGCTTCCTCACCCCCCACCTTCATGACCCCAGTCCTGCCTTTCAGTTCTGGCTAGACCGGAGCGTGTACACTGGTACAGATAAGAGCTCACGACACATGGAATCCAGGTCAGAGAAACCCCTCAGGAACAGAAATGGGAGTAGCGATACCAGGAGGGTCGGGGAAGGTGAGTAGAGGAGGGGAGGAAGGGGGAACCAATTGCAATGATCGTCACAACAGAAATGTAGGTGAAGGGAGACAGTGGATGGTGTAAGATATGAAAATAATAATTTATAATTTATCAAGGGGTCATGGGGGTGGGGAGCTGATGCCAAGGGCTCAAACAGAAAAGATTTAGAAAACAATGATGGCAACCTAGGTATAAATATGCTTGATACAACTGAGGTATGTGATAAGAGCTGTAGGAGGCTCCAATAAAATTATTTTTTTAAAGGAGCTTGTAAGAGCCCCCCAAATAAGATGATTTTTTAAAATAATAAAATCAAAATACCTAAAAAAAATTAAAGGCAAAAACTTTTTTTAATTGTTTGGAAATATGTTAGGCAGCTTGTCCATGAAAACTTAATTTTTGAAGAATATTTAGGACCTGTATTTCTACCTATATATGCACTCTTATCTATTAGGTTCATGTACATTCTAGGACTCTAGACTCTGTAATATCACAATGGCCCAGGAGTTCAAAATTTACAGTAAATTAAAAACAAAAAACTTGCTAAGTAAACCATGCCTTATTATGTTCTAACGTGTCAGAGAAGCTTTGCAGATTGCAAACGCAGCACCATCTGGGGACCTGAGGACGGTCCTGTTTGCCTTTCCGGTTCGTACCTGGCATGGTCTGGATGTGTGTAAGGCGCAGTTCTAACACATTCCCCAACAAAGTTCACTGGGAAAGGAAGCAGAAAATGGGTCTTCATCTGGCAGGGCTTGAAAGTAGGGTCCTGAGGAATAAAGAGGTCTCAATCAGATCAGGCTGCTTCGGCACAAGATAGTTCACAGCTACTAAAAATTCTAGAAAATACCTTATTTTCCTAATGATCATGATGTCATTCTATAGAATGTTGCATTTTTTAAGTAGCACGCAATATACTAACACTAACGGTGCTTTACAATATACAATCTAATTCTCAGTGTTAGGATTATTTCATGACGCCGGTCATTAGATCTCACCTGTGTTTTCCCTCATGAATATGGTACACTGCTATGTTATCACTATGCTGTATGACTCACCAAACCAAATGGTAGCATTAGTGTGGTAGTTGCATAATCTGGTGTCGATTTGAGAGGATTACGAGTGAAGGGGTGGAGTCTGGCCTGTCAATCAAGATATAACCAATGAAGCCTCTGTGTGGGCATGGCCTTCTGCTGAGAATTCTGGAAACTCCTGTATGTCCTCCTGGGAGGCAGGCAGCACTTCTCTCTCTCTGCTCACTTGCTGCGAGATCTTCCTGAGGAGAAGTCACATGGACCTACCCTGATGCAGCTCTGGGAACTGGAGCAACCACATTGGGACCCCGGCCAGCACTGAGAAGCTCTACTGCCACTGACTTTGCACCCACTGGCCTTGATCTTCCTGCATTCAGCGTCATGCATGTGTTTCGTGAGTACGAAGAGGACTTCATAGATTGGTATCGGACATATGGGCTAGTAACAGACTTATGGACTTGATCTGAGATGGTTTCTCAATATTCAACTGCTCCTGTATATAAACCTCTTTATTATACACGTGAGTCTCCCTGGATTTGTTTCTCTAGTCCACCCTGAGTAACACAGTTAGCAGTGCTGAAGAAGGAAGAAGAGGTGGCACTGCTGAAGTGATGGAGAATTAGCACTGACTCAGCGTGGGAAGTTATACCAAAGCAAAGGCAAACTGCGCACTGAAGAGAGCACGTGGAGTCGCCAGTGTCTTCACGGACACTGGAAGAGCTCATCCCTGAGGGCATCCACTCTGCCTGGTTCTAAGGCACAAAGGGCTCCGGGTGGCAGTAATGAGAAGCTATAATGAGCTAGCAATTCCAAGGGCATGGTCCAACCAACTTAAGAGAAAAAACTATCACACTCACAAAGCCTTTAGCTACAAGCTGGGTTTATTCTGAAGTTCTGCTAGTTGTATTAACTTACTGTGATTAGCTTCCTAATGATTTGGGAACCATTAACATGTGGACTTCCACTAGATCCATTAGGTGCGGGTTTCTGAAAACAAAAGATGTCCAAGTATAAATGCGAAAAGTCAAACATTCACTTGAAGTAACTAAGAAGGTAGCGTTTAAACAATTCACAGCATTGGTAACAGTGTTTGAGCAGATTTGTTTGAGTCTTTGTACCACAAAGGCAAATATTTTAAGTTGTTTCCCCCACCTACCCACTGATATTCTAGTTTTCTAGTAATAAAATTGCCTCCAGATATGTTAAATTATTGGGCTATAGTCAGAGATGGCACAAAAACAGCCCCTTTTTATACTCTATTTTTTCTTTTTTTTTTTTAATTTTTAAAAAATTCTTTAATTTAAAAATCTTTTGGTCACTGTATTTTAGGTACATTTTTTAGTGTATTTTTTAAATCAGCATATAATCCACATATCATACAATAGTTCAAATACTCTATTTTTAAAATTAGTTAGTCAGCGTGGAAAGGCAAGTAAGTACACAGCACACCACCATAAATGGAATAGGGATGAAGAAATATAAGATAAAAGCTAAAAAAATAAAATAAAATAAAATAAAAATTAAAAAAAAATTTTAAAAATTTAAAAAAAAAAATAATAAATAAATAAATAAAAAAAGATAAAAGCTATTAGAAATAACTCCTCTGAAAAAAACTCCAGAGACCATCAAGCTATATAGGGGAAGAATCCAGTAATCCAGCAAGTGTGCAGTAATCTACTTTGCAAATTAATCAAATGAATGAGGCTTCCACTCAGTACAATTATTCTTGTAGAAAGTCTGACACATGAGTCATGCTGAGACTGCCTTTAGGAAAGCCTTACAGACAGCCGTGAGGCAGACTTCACCAGCCCCTGCAACTGTATTCCAACCAAAGTCTGTTTTCCCTCTTAAGGAACAGGCTACACCACGGGAGCAATAAGCCGGGAACACAGGCCAACCACAGTGTTTGAATTCATTGCTTCAGGCGAGCACCGGATCCTCCTACACGTGTCTCTTTACCTGTACTGAGGGGATACTGGTACTTATGCACAGAATAAACGGTTTTATGTAAAACTTTACACTGAGATTTGGCACATGCAAAGTACCCTGTTACGACTGACTGTATTTATCATCACCTCAATCACATGTGGACGGACTGGTTTTCGTTCTTTCTTACTTCGACCAAGGTTTGTAATGAAGCTCTCTACAACTTTCGCCGTGTGAGACATCTGCTGAGGAGTTGCATTCACCGAACACCTGTTTAAAAATGTGTATGTCCCTTACTATTAAAAATACTAGCTTACCAATTACATTTTTCAACCATTAGCACAAAAATAAATGTATCATTTTTCTATCAAACAATACTCAAAAGTGACACAAAGGAACGGGAGCCGAGTTCAGAAAGAACGCCATCCTCCCTCCTCCTTCTCTGGAGTGCTTGCCGGCTGCTGTCAAACCCGCTCGCTCACTCCAGAGCATGGGAGCTACAGAAGGAGCAGTTTAGACACAGACAGATTTCTGGAATCAAACGTTTGTGTTCTTCTGGAAAGGTAGAGAGACTACAGATATCCAGATCTGTCAGTAATGACTCCACAGGTGTCTTATCAGAACATCACAAACCTAAGACAAGTATATTGTCAGAACACTATAAACTTAAAGGAACCGTTTGAAATATAAAAACTGGCTATTAAAACAGCAAAGTACCATATATACTCGTGTATATGCCAAGTTTTTCAGCACATTTTTAATGCTGTTTTTGTGGTAAAACTAGGTGTCTCGGCTTATAGCTGGTTCGGCTTATACTCGAGTATATATGGTATATTCTATGTAGTAAAAAATCTACCAGGCTTTCCAAAATATCATCTTATAACCCTTTAAAATTATATAGGGACACAAATACCATCAACTACAAGTTCTATAAAATATACAAAACACTGATGATGTATAATTTTTTTCCCTTCTGTCCTAGATCCTAAATTTACTTTGGATAAATGAACAGCTCCGTATCATTAAAGTAATGCTAGCTATAAAGTCAAAGTACTATACTCAGATTATTTCTCTTAATCCTTACAAAGACTTGAAAAGTGGGGCTTCTTGGCAAAGAAAGCTAAATATCCAAATGGTCAAGGGCCCCACCCTAGCCCCTTATGTTAGACTTGGAGCCATTAACCAGGGCTAACTGACCACTGTGTCCTACCACCTCGGGTTTCGAGAAAATTTACCCCTTAGAATCTGCCCATGACTTCCAGAACTTAACTGGGGACTCTTTACATAGAACTACAGGTGATTTAAGGAAACAAGTTCTTGAACAGTCTATTCCAACTCCTAGTGGCCCTCCAGGACAGGGCAGAAGTGCCCCTGTGGGTTTCCAAGGCTTTACATCTTTATGGGGCAGAAAGGCTCACTTTTCTACCAGGGAGAGGCTGGTGGATTCTAGCTCCAAGCAGCACGCAAGTGTGAACTATCTGCTAAGCTTAAATTATAATCACTGGTAGTAAGATGCTAAAGATAAACTGATGATATACATACTCTAAAATTTTATTCAGCTTCAAAAATCCATTGTATAACTAAGCTGCTAGAAGTTTTTCTCAAACAATTATTTTGTGGTTTTATTTTTGATTTGAGCAAATTATCCTTTACAAGATTTCTCATTTCCAGAACTTTATGATTTTGGAAGCAATTTAATCTTAAATGTTTACAACAAACCCTTATTTTGCAGTAACAGGATTAAATTAGCTTGATTTTCCCCTTATCTCTCATTAATATTTATTAAACTTTAAAATATAATCTTTCCCCTCCCCACCCAGAAAATAGATCATCTATCTGAAGCCTCTAGTTAATTCCTAACCAAGACTAGCATCAACGTATCTTTTTATCATGAATGTAAGTTTATATAATTTTGGTTTTGGGCAAAAACTTCTAAACATCACACTAAATCAAGTGGGATGAACCATGAGCTCTACGATTCAGATTCGAGAGTCACGACTCGCCATGAAGCATGCATCCTTACCTCAGGTTATCACAGTTCAGCACATGTTTCTGGATACGTGGGAGCTTCCGCAGGACTGGTTTGATGTCTGTCATTTCAGAAATTCTCTTCATTAATCTGACCTAAATCAAAGAGATCCAATACTCAGATATCACTGGCAGATCTCAGCCGTCTAGAACTAGAGATCCCTGATATCAGTAATATCATTTAAGCACCGGAGAGGTTCTGACTTGGGGCTTGTGTGTGAGCAGACGGCTTGGGTGACGGATTGGATTAGGAGTCCAAGTGCAAAGAAAAAAGAAAAAAAAAACAGTGAAATTTAGACACTTGAAAAGTTTGCTGGTCCTAGGCATATTTTAACAACCTTCAACTATGCAAATGAACCAGAATACAAATGAGGCTACAACATATTTATTTTCACCTGATCCATTCCATTGAAAGTTTCATGTAGGTCTCCTGCAGGTGTGAGGGTTTTACTGGCTCTAATGGATGCATAGAGATGACCAGAATCGGAAATGCCGTTTGCAAGCTCCTGAGCACTCATTTTCACTAATACTTTGAAGTGTTCTTCTTCTTCAAAGCAGGGACTATGGAAAAAGAAGAAATATAATGAAGTCTTGGAGCAATCTATCCATAGCCCCCTCTCTATAATTGGGGGGAGGGGCAAATATATACTTATGTTTATACCCATTTCCCATTATAGAAAAATTATTAAGTATAAACTTCCACATGATTTGAACACCCTCAGAAATTTTTTGAGTCCATAGAGATTATAAATTATAGATAAAATTAGGTTAGAATATCAACCACCACCAAAAGCGTAAAATCGTATACTTTTGGAATACTTCAGATTTAGATTTCTGACACATCCCAAGAATGAACATCTTTGGCAAATAATGTTTGTTACTTGTTAAATATTTCACTCCACAAGTGCATCATATCTGGTAGATTTCGATCCAGGCAGAGAGAGGAAAAAAGCACACCCTGCATCATAAGTGGAAAAAAACAAAACAAATGCAAAAGAAACAAATTAATTTTGAGGACATGTTAAAAGAAAACAGCATACAAATAAATAAGCGGACAGAGCGACGGGTACTGGAGACACACGTTTGAGCGCACTGTGACCGAGAACCACGCTACCTGCTCGTAGGTATCTAGGTGGGAGTCATCAGGGAGCACGTGGGGAGAAGCAGTCATTCCTCCTGTCTTAAGCTCGATGTGTTGAGCTTGTTCTCGGTAGTTCAGAATGCCGCAGCCCAGCCTGTGGACAGCAAGGAAGCACTCCCTGATTCACCAAAGAAATCTTCCCCGGTCATTTTAAACCATGCATCCTGATTTCCAAGGTGCTTCAATAAAGTCAACAACCACGGCCTTCACAAGCTTTTTAACAAATTCTTGTTCATGTCATAAGTGATAAAGCATTTGCACTGATAACATTTAGAGACTTTAACCCTCTAAGTTTTCACATATGCAGGGAATGTCCATACTAGAGTCTTTGGTGGTCAGTGTCTAGCTATAAAAATAGCAAAAATATCAAATCCTAAGCTTTTAAATATTTCATAAACAGTCTCTATTTTATTCTTCTTCCAAAATATTCTGAGACACACTATTTGCTCAAGTAGTTCATTGCATTTTCCCAGGGAGCATAGCCTTTGGGTTTTTTAAAAGCTGACCACTCCAGGGGTGATGATGCTTTTGAAGGAGACATTCTAGCCAGTGCTCCAAGGACAGGAAGGAGCTTAAGTCGAAGCCTCAACAGTGCAGCTTTTCAAAAACTGCAATATAACCAAAAAAGGACAAGCAGAGGGAACTGTGTTTAAAAAAGAGAGAGAGAATTTTACAAAGGTCAGGGGCATTTCCCTTCTCGTCACATACTCAGCCAGAAGATTCCACATTAATCTAGCTTGCTGTAATGTGCAAATACTTTTATTTCCACAATGCAAACAAGTATCATGGGCACTAGGCCCTACACATTTTACTGTAATGGTCTGATTTCCCTTTATTTCCGGGGAGCATAAGAAAAGAAAGTCTTCAGCCACACTGACCTACAGGGTGGCCCCCAACTGTGGACACTTGAAATGGAGCAGGAGCCAAGGGGCATGCAACAGTGTGTGTGTACTTGTGCATGGATTTCCAGACAATTGCAGGCATATTTCACTCCAACAACAATAGGAGTTATAAATTCAGCTTAGCTGAGAGGCAAATTAAGGAAAGGGCAAACTACATAATGTTGTAAGGTTAATCCCAGGCTGATATTTTATATTTGATTACTGATATTTTATTAAAAACATTTTTCAAACTCTTAAAATACTCAGTCATTGAGATATCTGTATTCTCTACACTCATGAAAATTTTAGGATATTAAAGTTAGAAAACAATTTTCACAAAACAAGTTTTAGACAAATACAACCAAAAAACTCAATCTCAATGCTATTGAGCTGACGCCAATTCACTGCAACCCTACAGGACAAGGTAGAACTGCCCCTGTGGGCTCCTGAGACAGTAAATCTCTATAGGCGTCGAAACCTTCATCTTTCTCCCATGGAACAGCTGATGGTTTCGAAATGCTGGTCTTGTGAATCTTAGCCCAACAAGTAACCACTACGTCACTGGGGCAGCACGCTAACACTCAAGTTTGGAATAACAAGTTTTAATTTATTAACGTGATTACTATTAATACATTACTCTCAATGCCATTTTACACACAGAAAATTACCTAAATAAAGTATACAAATACATGTTAAATCATATATGCAAATGTGTTTTATTCTAATCATCAAAATCTTACTTGGTAAGGACACTGCAGAAAAGAGGCACATACGGCTTTAGCTCTTCAGGAAGTGTGTTTAAACTAGAAAAGGCTCGGAAGTATACCATACCATTGGTTGGCTGGGCACAGTACTGAACAGGGACTTCTCCAGCTATAAAAACAAAAACAGTTATTTTATTATTACTAGTAAATTTTTAATCACTTTCCAGAGTGCGGGCTTAAAATGTATACGAAAAAGAGAAATGCTATTCATTTGCCATATGTAAATTGTACTTTTTTTATAGATTGTAGTTTGTTATGGTAGACTCTGAGAGTCTTAAATACTAAAGGTGAATTCCATTTTTAAAAGTATTGCCACAGAAAAATAATGTTCTTCTGGGTTTTTAACTGTCCGTATATCCCAGCTGGTCCTTAGCTACCTTTATCCATCCATATCTACTTTTACCCAAACCCTTCTCTTTAGCAGAATGGGTTATTAGTGATTCAAAGGCATCATTACAACTATTTCATCCATCCTAAATGCCACTCATCTTTTTCTAAGACATCCTACGCACACCTATAGTAACACACACACTATCTCCTTAATAAAATACTCCCCAGTGACCCACTTGACTCAGTTGATTGTATTCTGTATTCCTATAGACATTTCTAGGTCTTTCAAGACTGAGTAGTATGTATTATATTTTATATCCCTAGCACAATGCCCTGAACCATATGAAGTACTCAAATATTTATTAATGGCTGAACCCTGGGGGCACAGGCTCTTCAACACATCCTCCATTGATGTCTATAGACACTTCTGAAGGCAGAGTTTCCATCCCCCGACCCTGAAAAAGTCTGGGCTCTTCAATTGACACCACATCAAAACATCAGTTTTGGCAGGATCAAGGAACTCAAGTCATGTTGCTTGCAAATACTGAGTTTGAGGAGCAAACAGAAGTCAATGGGAAAGATCAAGGTTATAGAGTGGAATGGGTAAGGCTTCCCAAGAAAATCCTAGTAGGACAGCCCTTGCTCCCCTAGAAAAATGAGCAGGTGGATTGTCAGGAGGAAAACAAGTTCCTTGGGGATTTTCCTGTCCCTTTTTCTCAGTTTTCAATTTCATTAAAACATCTTCATAAAGAGCTCTCATGGTTGTCCAGTTCCTTTGAAAAAACACCCATCACAATTGCCCACAATTATCCCACAGAAGAGTAATCATCACATTCTGAAACGCCTTTCTGCCTTGAGTTTAACTGGGCCAGCAAATGCCCTCAGAAACACTGTTTCGATTGAATCTATTTTTGTTTTCAAACGTATCCTAACACAATTAAGACAACATTACTGAGAGAACTTGTATGCAGCCATCCACTGATTACAGAGACAAGTTTGAAAATCTTTGTTTGGAATAAACCCGTGCATGAAGGAACGGGAACCCAATGGCAAGACTTTTTAACATGCCTTTATATGACTCTGTCGATACTGATGTTTCACTGAAAGCAATTTCCAAACCCACTGGCATCAAGTCGATTCTGATGCACAGAGACCCTAGAGGAGAGAAGGTCCAGTAGGGTTTTCCCAACTGCCATCTTCACAAGGACAGATGGCAACATGGTTCTCTGGGGTAAGTCCTGGTGGGTTCAAACTGCCGACCTTCCAGTTGGCAGTTGAGTCCTTAACTGCTACACTATCACGCACGTAAACTAAGCATGTTTGTACTGACCTGCCAATGCTACCTCCAGCTCAGTGACAGGTATGGTCGGCTCGATATCTGACACTTTCAGAGCAGGTAGACAAGAGGCATCATGCGGTTTACTTTGCTGAGTTCGTAATTCTAAGCCTGCAGACAAAAAAAGGAACATTCAGGACTATAATTCATAGGTTTTATGCAATTTATCTCCTTTCCATTGATCTCCCTTTTGACTCATTTTGATTGTGTTATAGTGTTTAATATTTTCTGCTTTTTTCCCAAATGAGGTTTTTGAATTTGGTCATTGTTGCTCGATCCCCTTTTTTTGTTGTATATTTTTCTGTATATGGAGAGAAGTCAGGCTGGGCAGATCTATGAAGAGTACAATTAGATTAAAAATTGCCTGAAGCTGAGAGCAAAGAAGGGGAGGGCTGGGGAAATGGGGAGTCAACAATAGGTATAAGAAGGAAGAAAATGTTCCCAAAGTTGATTGTGGTAATGACTGTATCACCTTAACATGAATGAAATATTGAATTGTATGATATGCTAATAATATTTCAATCAAGCTATTCAAAAATAGCAACTCCATACCAAGTGCTAGGAGTAAATTAGTACTAAGGATTTATAAGGCACCTACGATTTTTGGACTAGATCTAACGGCATTAATAACCTAGCTCAGTAAGGAGTTCTTTTTCCAATTGTTATTTTATAATTATATATATTTTTTAATTTTACCAGAGAGCAGAGGTTTATTTGAGCAGTCATCCAATCACCTCTCCGTTTTTCACTACTTAGACTGTACTTGCTATGAGAAGAGAATGCAAAAGTGGTAAGTGTATTGTTTTAAGCATGGAACTGAATAATGTATATATAAAAAGACTCCATCATGTCTAGAAAAAATTGAGTTAACAGATAATGAAAAATGTCCATGCACTTTTTAAGAACCCCTTGTACAAAACTGGCTTATTTCACATGCATGATTCAGAGGGGTTACCGCTTCAATTCAGTACTGTAACTGGATCTCCTGGTAAAGAAGGCTTACAGGGTCTGTTTGCTGACCTAAGAAGGAAGAGGGACAGCTTCACTAATCTTCCATTTCCACATTTTTTAAATTCCTTGAGAGCAAGTTTACCATGTTACTGTCCACTTAAACATGGGACTCCAAAGTTCAAAGTGTCTCTGGGGTGCAGGAACAGTGCGTATCTCATGTCCTACTTCATCTCCATAGACATGCTCTGTCCCATTGCAAAGTTAAAGCTGAAACCATCCTCGACTTCAGACTTTCCACATGTACACTCTGGAATGGCTAGTTCCAGGACCGAGTAACCATGGTCGCTATATTTCTTGGTCTTTGAGTGAACAGGTATTACGTACACAGAGCCTTCTAAGTGGAAGCTAATGACTATGTTTAAGTCACAGAGGTCAGATAGAATAGGGAAGAGTAAGGTCTTCGTATTCACCACCACTACTTGTCAACCACTTCTCCAGGTTCATGGTAAGACCCTGTGTGAGATTCCTGCCATGCAGTTGGTTAAACCTTTCATCTGTTTACATCACTGTCATTTACAAACCTCCCAGACCATTCACCTTTCACAGGAGGCTTTGCTATTCCTTTCCCTACCCCATACCTTGAGTGTCTAATCATCCATGAGAATACCTTACCTAAATACTCTGAAGTAAAAGCACTATCTGTATAAACCAGGAAGCTGGTTGTAATCTCTAGGTAACCACTAAGAGTAAGTGATCAACATATGTATTACGAATGAATAGAAAGGAAAATAGAACAAAAAATTGATTCATCCATAAAATATCAAAAATCACAAGGTGCATAAAAGCAGGTAAAATGGTAAACAAGTAGTTCAGAGGTTGGATGGAAAACCAAATCGATCAGTGAATTACAGCAATTTAAACAGTTAATGAATTCCAATTAAAAGAAGATTGTCCAGAGGGGGTAAAAATGAGAAGCTTATACCAAGGGCTTAAGTAGAAAGAAAATGTTTTGAAAATGATGACAACAAATGTACAGATGTGCTTGACACAATGGATGGATGTATGGATTGTGATGAGAGTTGTTCGAGCCCCCAATAAAACTATTTTTTAAAAAAAGATTAAGTTTGTCAGACCCAGTGTAAAAACTGTCTGTGCTGGTTAAATATATGCTGTTTAAAATGGAGATACCTTAAATATAAGGCCACATGCTCAAATAAAAAGATGGAAATAAGATAAACTGTGGAAACACAAAAAGCTGGTGTTGCTACAGTAATACCCAAAACCAAGCCAAATTCACTGACATTAAGTCGATACCGACTCATCATGACCCTGTAGGACAGGAGAGAACTGCCCTGTGAGTTTCCGAGACTAAAACTCTTTATGAGAGTGGAAAGCCCTATCTCTCTTCTGAGGAGTAGCTGGTGGTTTGAACTCCATACCTTGCCATTGAACCCCATACCTTGCAATTAGCAGCCCAACACATAGCTACTATGCCACCAGGGCTCTTACACAAATACAAGTACATGAAAAGGTGGGAGGGGAGTTTCAAAAAAACCCAAGTGGCTAACAATGCCAATGAATGATCCCCAATGGTGCAGTGGGTTAAGCACTGGGCTGCTAGCCACAAGATCAATAGTGTAAAGCCACCAGCTGCTCTGTGGGAGAAAGAGAAGGCTGTCTGCTCCCCGAAAGAGTTACAGACCCCAAACCGCCTCCTGCCCCCGAAACAGTTCTATTCTATTGTAGGGTTGCCATGAGTCGGAATCATCTCAACAGCAATGGGCTTGGAGGGTGAGGTTTGAATGGTGCAATGGTTGAGCTGCTTAGGGAAAAGTCTATGGTTTGACTCCACCAGTGGCTCTGCAGAAGAAAAGACCTGATGATTTGCCTTCACAAAGATTACAGCCTAGGGAACTATGGGACAGCTCTACTCTGTCCTATAGGGCCACCCTGAGTCAGAATGAACTTGATTTTGACAGCAACAATCTCTTAATAGCCCTAAACCATACCAATAGGTGGCTTCCTCCAATTACACTGAGCCATTTGAATACAAGACAGAATACGGGTAGCTGACCTGTCCCCAGGCTGGGATTTTACAAAGAAGATCTCAATTAAAACCAAACTAACTTCCATTGTGTCATGCCAGACACACTGACAAGAGAGTGGACTTTAGATAAGGAGAGAGTAAAGGAACTGAGACAACAGACTGGGGAACCATGGTGGGTCACAGCCTGTGGTATTTAAGTTAGAAAAGAAGGTTGGTGGAAGACAACTCCAACAACCAAACCCACTGTCATTGAGTGGACCCTGACTCAGCGACCTTATGGGACAGGGAAGAACTGTCCCTGTGAGTTTCCCAGATGGGAGTAGAGATCCTTGTCTTTCTCCGATAGAGCTGGTAGGTGGTTTCAAACTGTTGACCTTGCGGTTAGCAGCCCAACATGTAACCAATACAAGGGGTCTCAGATTTTCAATGACTTAGTTCAAAGTCAGACACCAACGTTTCAGAGATACAAAAGCCTGCAGCTGGGGTGGTAATGGTGATGGGAGTCGTAAATAATACAGGGTTTGTAACCATCACAAGACAATCTTTCTCCTGCAACAGAGCAGCAAGGGGAGCAAAACAATGAAGTCCCTAGGGAATACCAAAAATAGACTTTGGGGCTCCTAAAGGTCAACAAACAGACCTGGAACTATTTATAGGCTTTTCTTTTTTTGTCATTGTTTTTTTGTTGTTGATGGTGGTTTTGTGTTTCCTTTTGTTGTTTTGGTTTGCTTTGTCTTGTTTTTGTGCTTGTTATTGTCTCTGAATGTCTATCTAGACAAGATACACAGAAAAATGTCTCTGAATGTCTATCTAGACAAGATACACAGAAAAAACTATCCAGAGGAGAAAACGAGACCGTCAGTTCAGTGGGGGCATGGGAAATGGGGGAGGGGAGGGCGGAGGAAAGGAAGTGGGATGTCAACAAACCCAGGGACAAGGGAATAAGTGATCTAAAATCGATGGCAAGGAGGGCACAGGATGTCTTGTGTGGCTTGATCAAGGGCAATGTAGCCAAGAAGAATTACTGAAACCTGAATGAAGGCTGAACATGATAGTGGGAGAGGAAAGTAAAAGGAAATAAAGGAAAGAACTAGGAGGCAAAGGACATTTAGAGCGGTCTAAATACAGGCATGTACATATGTAAATATATTTACATATATATAATCATAGGCAAATAGGTCTATGTACATATGTTTATATGCTAAGTATTAAGGTAGCAGACAGACATTGCTCCTCCACTCGTCCTCCCTCAACACAAGAACACTTTGTTCTAATAACCCGGCATTCTGTGATGCTCACCTTCCCAACACGATCACTGAAGACAAAATGGGTGCATAAGCAAATGTGAAAAAAGCTGATGGTGCCCAGCTATCAAAAGATAGAGTGTCTGGGGTTTTAAAGGCTTGAAGATAAACAAGCAGCCATGTAGCTAAGAAGCAAAGTTCACATGGAAGAACCACACCAGCCTGTATGATCATGAGGTGTCGATGGGATCAGGTACCAGGCATCAAAGACCCAGGACAAAAAATCATATCAATGTGAGTGAGGAGGCATGTGGGGTAGAGACCCGAAGCCCATCTGTAGACATTTGGACATCCCCTTACAAAAGGGTCACAAGGAAGAGATGAGCCACTCAGGGTGCAGTATAGCACCGATGAAACATACAACTTTCCTCTAGTTCTTTAATGCTTCCTCTCCCCCACCACCACCTCCCCCCGACTATCATGAACCCAGTCCCGCCTTTTAGTCCTGGCTAGACCAGAGCATGTGCACTGGCACAGATAAGCGTCACAACACATGGGATCCAGGTCAGATAACCCCTCAGGGAGAGAAATAGGGGAAAGGTGAGTGGAGGAGGGGAGAGGGGAACCAACTGCAATAATCGGCACAGGGGGACGAACAAGAGAAACGTGGGTGAAGTGAGACAGCAGACAGTGTAAAATACGAAAGTATTAATAATTTATCATTCATCAAGGGGTCATGAGGGTGGGAAGGGGGGAGCGGGAGGAATAAAGAGGAGCTAATACCAAGGCCTCAAATAGAAAATAAAATATTTAGAAAATGATGATGGCAACATATGTACAAATGTGCTTGACAAAATGGATGTATGCATAGATTGTGATAAGTGCTGTAAGAGCCCCCAATAAAATGATTTTTTAAAAAAGACTATCTTTCTAAAACGAGCTGAGGGATACCCTACTAGACAGGTTCTCTATGGCACCAAGCTCAAACCTACTGGTCTGTCTCAAACCTCTCTGTGCTTTATCTCCTCAATCAACCCGTGTTTGGGAGGAGAGAATACATGTGTGCATGTATAGGTAAGCACGAGCATGTGTATGAGTACTGTATATATTTTTAACAGGTTATATGGAGGTATAATTAAACTCACAATTCTAAAGATAAAATTCAATGAGTTTTGACAACCACCATATTTATACTACAGAACATTTTCATCACCCCAAAAAGTTCTCACCTGCCCCTTCACAAGTCCATGTCCTATGCCACTCCTGACTACTAGCAATTACTGATCCACCTTTGTCATCTCTAGAATTTCAATACATGGACTCATTTTCTCTGTAAGCATTTTTGGTGACTGACTACATAATGTTCTTTAGATGTATCCAGGCTGTTGAGTGCATTTGTTCATTAAGCACATGCTCCAGCAGTCTCAGAGCAAGGCCCTCCACAATTTGGTCTCAATTCATCATTCTGATCTTAGTCTTTCTCAAACACTCTCTTTCCTCCAGGCCTATCTATTCTTCCTTTGAAAAAGTGGCACACTGTTCACCTGTTTACCCAAGCCTACCTATACAGATCCTAGCTATACTCCATGACCACCTCAAGTCCTTTAGTTAGCAGTTCAACTTGTTAATTCTTTCTAGCTCAGACTTGTCTTCCTTCTAAACTCATAACTGATATTGTCTATGTTGTTTGTTCCCTTGGCAACTCGCCATATAGTAAAACCTGAGGAATTTTATTGATACAGTTAAAACCCATAATCCATAAGTATTCTTCTCCAGGATTACTTCCTCACCTGTCAAACCACAATATAAATTATTTGAGAGTAGGGACTGAACATTCTAGATACCCAATAAGTATTTATTGAGATAATTGCTTGGCTTCAACTATTAACTACTTTTTAAAGTTCACCGGATTTGGGAAAAGGCCAGGATTCCATCTTAAAAGGCTTTCTTCGTAATTACTAAGAACAAAACAAAATTTCTAACCTTTCTCATATATCGCTTCCTTGTCTTGTGGTGAAAGAGAATTGACCTTTTGCTTTAGCTTTTCTGTTTCCATTTGTGTTTGTTTCTCATAATATTTGTCATCTGGTTTCATTGACAAAGTCAGCTTATGTTGATTATTCTGTAACAAGAGTAACACAGATATTAAACAACAATTGATTAAAGTTTAATATATTCTATCAGCCTCTCTCTATGTGTTTTTGGTTGGTTCTGCAGTTCCATTTACCCATTGGAAATGGCGAAAGTCACAAAACTCTCTGCGAAGGTTTATTTTACAGATGAAGTTCTATAAACCACATAAGTTCATAGAACCATATTTAATATGGACTAAGTACATAAAATTTCACAGATGCTGTTATTTTTACTATTAAAGGGGCTTCAAAAGTTTATGAAAAATTCTATACATTTTTAATATAATTCTTCTATGAACTTTTTGAGGCTCCTTCATATTATCATTAGTATGGTCACTATGTCTTATTTATAAATGTATAAATATTCAACATTTTCTTTACTGTTTGTGGGAAAATAATTTTTCTTTTAAAACCTGTACTTTCAACACTATATATCTTTGATTTTACTGTAAATATAACACAGAATAAAGGAACTATATTTTAACCTAGTCTTCATTCTACTATTAACTTTTCAACAGTCAGAACTAATCTCTTTATTCAGAACTTATTAAATTTGAGGATAAATTAAATGTTGATCTAATACATAAGAGATGTTAGGTAATTAACATGTTTCTCTTATTTATTTCAATAACTAAAAACACACACAAAATACTCATTTGTTTGTTTTTTTGTTTTGTTTTGTTTTTTGGGGTTTTTTTTTCAAAATGCTCATTTGTAAGACTACAAAGAGAGGTAGGAGAATTAAAGTATACAGAAACTTGATATTGAATAACTATAATAACTTAAGAGAAACTGCAGATCAAATTATGTCCCATGCGCAAAACAAGGGCATATATTAAAATAGAGTTACCCTCAGATATGGACAATAGTCTTATCTATTACAGTAACATCATTTTTAAAGTTGTATCATATTGATATGTCTATATACCAGGGAATATAAAATTAAATACAAATGCCTATAAACTAGTCAAACAAATAAGCAAACAACAAAATAATTCCATTAAAAACAAAATAAACTAAAATATTTATTGTTCTCATAGTTTAGAAAATTCTTCCATTTTTAAAAAAAATCCATAAAATGTATGAAAATGTTTGGTCAGCACTTATGTACCTGGAATCATGTATGTACATGTAAAAAATACACACATATCCATATAAACACAACTTACACTGGAACCTGAAAAATACGATCTTTCATTAGCAGAAACAGACTTACATAATGTAGTTTATGTTCCCAATGCTCCTTTCATTATTATAAAATCTAACTTTTAAATGATAGATTTAACTTTTCAATTTTCTTACCTTGAAATATTGCTTTACTTTTTCTTGTAAAAATGTTGGATTTTCCTTAAGGCACTCTCTGAATTGAGCCATTTGATTTCCTAATTTCAAGAGTTCCACAGGGTCCCCATCATGATTCCAGCAAGAAGCTATGAACTGGGATAAAGCATTTTAAGTTCACATTGCGTATTATACTACAAATGCTCGATTATCCCAGTAAATATCAGAGGCTTTAAATTTTATTAAGATCTTAAGTTTCTATATTGGACATTATCACAAATGACAGCTTATAACCCAAATTGAGTCATTATCTGGTTGAGAGATTAAATTAACTCTATCCCAGTGTTCTAATACAAGGAAAAGCACAGTTTTACGTAATTTTCAGAAATAATAATCATTACTGACAACCAGTCACATACATTTCTACCCCTCTAAAGTATTCCATATAAATCTAAATCACATAAAAACATAAATTACCATAAAAAAGCTAATAAAAAGGCAGAAATAAGTCATAAAATTAAGAAAACAAGCTAAATCGAATAAAAACTTAAATTTAAGAAGTTAATTACATCAGACCTAAAATTGTGTAACTTTCTGAAAACATATACACTTTAAAAGTCCAAATAACAGTTTTATGTCAATCTAGACCGGAGGAATTTAAAAAGTTCATGGAAAACTAATAATCAAAGGAAATGGATTTCTCCATGAACTTTTACTCAACTCCCTTGTATTTTCAGTGCTATCATGAGCCAGTCATTTTAAAAGCAAAAAGAGGTGGTTGAGAAATTAATTACATACTGATGTCAACGTAAGTCCAAAGCTAGTTGATTGGTGTTTCATTTGTACTTCAGTTTTATGAAGCAAAGCTTCAATTCGATCATCTTCAAATCCTTTTCTATAGAACAAAATGAAGAACTGAGATGATGAAAAGAAATAATGTTTTAGAAGTGCTAGGTAGCAGATACAATATTTAAAATAGTTAATGATGAAGTAATGTATGCTTGATGACAACAGGCCACAAAACTGAGAAGGGTCATTCCCCTTACCAAACCAAACAGCATTCATGAATTAAGAACGAAAGCAAATAAGTGCAAAGAAATCATACTTACTCAATGACTTCATCAATTGTTTTATCAATAATGTTTTTGACTGTCTGAATATCTTTCTCAGCAATCCCTTGTAGGCCTACACTGAAGAAGGCCTCCCTTGTATAACCATTGTATCTAAAATCCAAAAAAGAGATGATGCATTAACATCCATGATTTTCATCATTCACTTTCACCAAATATGCCGCAGAACAGAACTTAGAATTTAAACATCCAGACCCTCCACTAAACTAACAAACATAGGAGTATTCTCAGATACTCCCACCTCCCTCAAATATAATTAGCTACATTTAGACTCTTTCCTTTTCTTACTTCTAAAAATCAACACAAACTTAATGTACGGCAAACTAAATAGAGAAAATGAGAGAGCTGTGGAACTGTATAGACTCTTAACATTTCAAAGAGCATTTTAATACACTAACGTTTATAATAGGCAGCACAGAACATTCTGAAATCTTGAAAAAGCTCTCTTGGTTTTTGGCTTGTTTTTTTCTTTTGTTTTGCCAAATGTTCCCTTCTGGACTCTATAAACAACTTCTTCCAGAATCCAAATCTAAATCAGTTTTGTGTCCTAGGGGAGGGAGGTGTGGTCCTGCCACCCCATAGGTTAGCAGCATCCCAGGGCTCTAAGACACCCTAGATGACAGTTATCAACCTCCGCTCCATATGACACCAAAACGTCCAGACATGGAAGAACATCCCCCTGGAGGACAAAACCAGTCACTGAGATCTACTGATCAAACCTAGGCATAAAACTTACCCAACATTAGGAGAAAAGTCTGTGCCAAGTCCAGATTCAATTAAAGCTTTATAAAAGGGAGAATTGGGCCCACCGATCAAGAGTGAAGACAAAAGAGTTAATGTGAAGGATTCAAATGTATCAGTGATTCTTCCGTTTCAAAAGAAGACAGGAGGAGCATGGCAGAGAAAGAAAGGGAAAAAAAGAAAACCTGTTGGTCCTTCTAACATTTTCAAAATCATCATTAACATTCTCATTTCCAAAGATGTTGAAGTTCCACAACAGCCTTGACTTTTAACCTCCATTTTAACAATTGCACAGGTTAAAGAGAACTATTCTTTTAGCTTACAATGCATTTATATACTGTGATTGTTTTTTTCTTTTTGGTGCCAAACCATAAAACGTACTTAATTCAATATCCGATACTTATTGACAAAATGTTATCTACAATTATAAGAACACTATAAAGTAGACTAAAATCTGGACTAAGAAGAGATTGGTTCAAAGCTGTACAGCTACTAAGCACCAGACACACAGACAGAATGAACTGCCAAGGGAACACTTGCCCTTTCATAAACAGCCCTTCTTAATATCATGTCCATGAAATCGCTAGAATTATAGTTAGTTGTCTTATAGTTTTCCAAAGTGAATATTCATAGTATTTTGTGAGCCCCAAAATATTAACTATTGCTGTTTTATGCCAGTCTTAACTCTATAAGGAAAGAAAACTTTCAAAAACAAAAAGAAAGTAAACTGTTTTTCTCCTAGATAGCTACACAAAGTCATCTTTTCCCTCTAAAACCCTCTCAAGTGTTAAGACCTTTCCTGGTGTTTAGCTCTCTGGTACGAAAACCTAAATCTTAATTACACATTTATCTGTACTTGATCATGGAATTCCACCTGGACAGCTTTCTCCTATTTTCAATGGTTACAAACTGTAAGAACTTCCGCGTACCCTGGTAAGAGGAAGCTGACACTGACAGTTGTCTGCTTAGAGGAATCTGCAGCGAGTGAGTCGGGGCCACATGTTATCTGGTATTCCTTCTGTAAAATGACATGACATTTCAGGTTGCCACAGAGTAGGAATAGGTTCAAACCAGTACACGCTACTCTGGATATGGGAATTGAACCAAAAATGCGTTATACAAAATTAACTTTCTTTTTCACAAATAACCACCCCTTAGGCTCAAAACATTCTTAAAAACACTATGCAGCCCACAAAAACATTTACAATTCCTATGATTACTATATCGTTCCAGTATTCATGTACTTAATAGGTAGAATCTTTAAAAAGTGATTTTTCTGTAGACCTACAGGTTTATCCCAAGGCTTCTGAGCTGGCACTGTGGTACTTGGTTCAATTTTCTGGAATTTACTCAGTGCTTCTTCATCGATTTGTTTCAGGTGTTTCTCTAACTGGAAATTACCATATGTGAAGATCCTGAAATTTTAAGAAGCTCTATTAGTTTATTTTAATTAAAAGATTTCAAACTAGCAGTCAAGCCTTTTTGTATGAAATGAAGAATACACAATATACAACAATATAAAGTAGATAGCAAGCCAGTTTACATAATGAAAGAACTTTATACATGGGTATAAATTTTTTTCCTACGTATCTAACTACAAACACCAAATAGAAGCTTCCTTTTTTTTTTTTTAATAAAATACGTTGGCTGTAAAACCAAAACAGAACATAAGCTGAAAAAATTAATTATAACGGTAAAGCTAGCAACTATATGGTAAAACTTATGGCTTTTGTGAAGAATCTGAATATACCACGGACAGCCAGAGAACTGACAGCTGTGTCCTGGAAGAAGTGTAGCCGGAATGCTCCTTAAAAGTGACAAGAAGGTCCTTGGTGAAGGACCTCACACTTGGCAAAGTGGAGGGCCAGTGAAAGAGAGGAAGACCGCAGAGAGATGAATTAATGCAGGAGTGGCAACAGGGCAGCTGGTGATTTTGAACTGCCACCTTGCAGATCACAACCCCAACATAACCGCTGTGCCGCCACCTAACAAAAAAAATCTAAATATAAAATACAGGCATGGCAAATATCAAGTGAATTATTTGTTTAAATAATTATTGCAAATGTATTATATTATTATTATTATTGTAAAACAATAAATTTATGTAAGACTGAAAAGCCAAAACAAAGCATAGTAAAAAAATCCAATTTCAAGCTACAAATTTCAGATTGTAAATGCTTTTTTTTTTTATTGTAAATGCTTTTAAGCTAACCCATTATTCAACCTGGGGGTGTATATACTGATAGAGTCAATCTTCTTTTTTTTTTAATGTTGTCTAAAGTATTTTCAGATTTAGGAAGCAAGTATCCAAAAAAAACAAAATGGAACAGAACAAAAGGAGCCCTGGAGGCACAAAGCTAAGTGCTCTGCTACTTCCCAAAGTCTTGGTGCTTGATGCCTCCCAGCGGCTCCACGGGAGAAAGATCTGTGCTTCCTTCTACAAACATGACAGAGGTCCCCAGACTTATTTGACCAATGGCCCCCTTTTTAGAAAAAAATTATTCAGCATTCCCTGGCATTAAAAACTTTTGTATTATAGCCTCTTAACCAAGATAAAGTGTAGGTATTTGCTTTGGCAGCCCCCTTGGGGAGATGCCATTGCTCACTTTGGGTAAACTGTTCAGAACAGCACCAACAATAACCACAAAATGTACATGTGGTCATATATGTACAGCTATAAGCCAGATGCTTCTGCAGCTGTGACTGCAAAGGCAGTGTTTGTAACCACTGTCCTGTACTGAGAGTCGTCATTAGTTTGGGGGTGGGGTGGGGTGTTCTTAATGAATGCCCATATAAAGTAGACAGGCAATCTAGCATGCAAAGAATCTTACCTACAGCTACATTTCTTTGAGACGGAAAAAATGAATAAAGTCATGTCATTAGGTAATGCAAGCAAACAAATTAGCCACCACCACTGAACTTAACAAATGAAATGTTACCTAGCATTACTTGGGTGATAATGAGTAGCATGAAACTGCTTCAGTTGTTCCCATGTAAGATCCGGGATGCACAGCGGATCGCCACCAGAGATCACTGAGTAAGTGTGGTCAGGAAGAAGTCTATTTTGAAGGTGCTGTGAGAATATTCGCTCATTATCTGTCTTCAAATTAAAAGAAAATAAATAAATAACCCACATTATTCCATCATAATGCAGCATACCAAGCACATTCTGGGAGCACAGAACTATAACACTTTAAAGATAAAACTGTTCTTACAGAAAGCATGGTCATTCATGCAGTTACTGATTAACACTAGCATTAAGATTATGAATAATTTATGCATTGGAGCCACCAGACCGGCTCCTTACACTCAGTACAGATTGAGTAATCAATAACTGCATTGCTGAAAGCCAATAAAAGAGTACATTGAAACTAGGAAGGAGTCATTTTTGCCCACTAACTGTAAAAAGCCTGGTGAAGTAGTGGGTTACCAGTTGGAATGTTAACTGCCAGGTCAGCAGTTCAAAACCACAAGCTGCTTCTTGGAAAAAAGATGAGGCTTTCCCCTCCCCTAAAGATTCAGAGTTTAAAAAAATAAAACAAACAAACAAAAAAGATCCGGGTTTTCAGAAAACCACAGGAGCAGTTCTACTCTGTCCTATAGGGTCACTATGGGTTTAGTTACCTGTACTGGTGATAGACTCCATGGGATTGCAGAAGACTTCAAAGGAAAGCCCTAACTTGACTTTCAACAAGGTGACTTGAAGGAAATGATGATACCCAAAGTGAGTATTAAAGGAAAAGAAACGATTTGTCAGCTTAAAGTGGTCACAGGCCAAAATATCAGGAAACCCAAGCAATCCCAAGCACTTCAGAAATAACTAGCACAGAGCAGGGACTGGTCTTAAAAGTTGAGACAGTAAACGCTGATGCAGGACTAGGGCAGCATTTCCCCATAGAACTTTTGAATAAAGGGATGTTTTTCTTTTTTAGATAGTTTTACTGACATATACTTAACATAGCTACAATTCAATGGTCTAATCATATTAAAAAGAGCTGTGCAATCATCAAGGTTGTCTCTCTATTACCTAGGTTTATAGGTTTATACGTATCTATAACTAGATATGTAGGTTTGTACATTTCATACACAAAAAACATATTTTCTTTAAAACGGGTCAAAAAGAGATCCAATGATATTACATTTTCACCGACGTCTGCCATACTCGACTTCACAATGCTCTCTAGTAACAGAGCGATTCATATCCCTCAATTCCGATGGAAAGGGATTCACCAGAGGTTTCATCCATGTGTGGGCCCTGCAAAGGGATTTGGGGCTTCTACTGTCATCTATAGCTTTCTGCAAGCCAGGTGTTCACAACTTAAGCTCTGATACCATTCCCTCCTTTAGATTTGGATTACTTTACTTACAAACCTTGGATCACACAGGCTGATGTGCTTCTTCTATGAGAATTTAGTAGACTCCTCACTTAGATGGCTGGTTGTTTGAAAACAAGCCTGTAAGACCCCAGATACTATTCTTTCTGATAGACACCACCTGGTGTCCGCACTTTGCTATAGCACCCATTATGTGCAGTGATCTCTTCTTGAGAGCAAGCTTGAAGCAGGGCCATGTCTTAAGAACTAATTGTTCACTAGAATTAAGTGCAAGCCCAAAATTCACTCATTCACCTAAGGTTCATATATGTCTCTGGTCCACCTTAGAGGCATTATTGTCTTTTTATGTTGCAGAACATTACTGATCATCCCCGTGGGCATCACTTCCCCCGCCATCAAATCATTGATGACTCATGGCGACCCTATAGGGCAGGGAAGAACTGCCCCTGTGAGTCTCTGAGCCTACAAATACTCACAGGTGCAGAAAGCCTCATCCTCTCCTTGAGGAGCTCTTTGGTCGTTTCAAATTGCTGACCTTGTAGTTGGCAGCCCGATGCGTAACCACTAAGCATTTGACAGTGTCATTAATTTAGCCACTGTCAAGACGAGGAAATTATGCCAGTATGGGCCAGCTGTGATCCACAATATATGAATTATTGACTGGCACAGATTGGACTCTTAAGTGACTGAGCACTATTTACATAAATAATGAGGGCAAATCTTCCAGTAATATTCCTGCACAACAGCAGAGCCACACCTACAAGATTAATACAAGTCATAATGAAGCAAGAAGGTCATTAAAATGATAAGTACATGGTAGTTCCAGGCCACCATTCGTTGGGCACCCACAGGGCAAGAAATTCGGATCAAAGGCCAGTTCAATGCTAGTAGTCGTCTACTGCTTCTCACATGAGGGAGTTTCAGCCTTAAGTCCAATGGCTACAAGTGGGTTTGAGGTAAAGCCCAGTTCACTTAGTGGTGTTTCCACATCAAGTTATTCTGGTATGGCCTCTGTGGCCTATGAAGGATGTTGTGTGCCTCAAAAAAACAGAGTCTAAAGTTCCAGTGATCTATAACACACAGACTGGATCACCCAGGCTGCACAGAAAGTAAGTCCAAAGTGTTTAGTTAGGAACCTAGTACCATACATATTCTTCCCCTGTTCCACACAAGTATTATTAAATGTTGTTTGGGGTTTTTTTTCCCCTAATGGGAGGTTGTTCCTGCCCACTTTCCTACCTACAGAGATGTAACTGACTCCTCTGAGACGTACTGCTCGCCCCGTCTCTCATCCCTGACTTGAATTTCCAGTTAAGTTTTCTTATCACTCTAGTGGGAGTGTCTGTTGGATTGAGGTGACCTTAGCACAATGTTGTATGGAAGCAACTGAATATTCTTCTCCTTCTCCCCACATCTTGAAAAGCTGACCCCAGCTGAGGTGAGGGCTCCTCTGTCGAAGCGGTTTTTAAGAAGTACATTTAAATGGGTGAGTCATGTTTCATGGGTGTTACCTAGTTGCTGAGGGGACTGGACTGGAAGAATGCATGCCCCGAGAGCAGTGACTGGTCTTCATCTTGGTGTTTATCCTGAGAGTAGTAGACGGACATACAATGTCTGTCCTTCTGTGACTGACTAACTTCACTCAGCATAATGGTTTCCAGGTCCTTGCATGTCATGAGGTGTGACCCACAACCGTTGATTAAGTCCCTGGTGAATCCAGGGATGTGAATAACTTTACATCATGCGGAAGGCATTGGAAAGTGGATTGCTGCAGATGCAGTTAGGTTAAAATTTAGACCCCTATCAGTTGATCTCCCTTATGATCCATTTAAACTTGTTCTAGTCTTTAATATGCTCTGCTTTCTTTTCAAATGAGGGTTTTAATCTGTTTTACTTTGTTATTTTTGTTATTTATTTTTTCCTGGTTTTCTGCATATGAAATCCAGGATATAGGCAAATCTAGACAGTACCTGGGTCAGTGGTTCATTGGGAGAGGTCGAGGGGAGATGGGGAGCTATAACGATGCGCACAAGAATGAAGACAATGTTCTACAACTGATTGTGGAAGTGATTATACAACTTATCTTGATGTGATTCAACTATGGAATTGCTTTTCATTTTTGTGGGGTTTTTTCCCATCTATAGAATTGCACAATGTGTGAACTATATGCCAATAAAACTGGTAAAAAACAAAGTACAAACACACAAAAAAATGCATTTTCTGTATCATAAATTACAGCTGAGGCATGTTTACATACTTATTAACTTAAAGCTCATCGATAAATATTAAATATTAACAAATACCTTTTGAAAAATATTTTTCATTAACAAAAGCAAACAAATATGGAGAATAGCAGCCCAATTTTATATTTTTACAAATTTCTTAAAGGCCTGGCTTAATTGAAGGCAGCTGGTTCTCATAGCTGCCTCTGTTTTCAATATACTGTGATATCGCACATCAAATCCAGCTTTGAGAACTCCACTGTAAGCTTAGGCAAGAATGAGAATGGAAAACATTACGTCTCAATGTCGTTATGAAATGGTTTCACCCACTGACCTCCTGCAGATCATCGACCAGGGGTTCCCAGACCACAGGATAGAAGCCAAGGCTCTAGAATGAGCAGGAGCCCAGCCCTGCTATCATCCTATGGTCTTTGTTCACAGCACTGCCCATCCAGGTAATTCGAGAAGTTATACGAAAATGTTAAGTGAAATGTTGGAATGGCAACTCTCTCTCAAACCTATTTGTATTTCCTGTTTTACACAGATAAGACCACAAGTTTAATACAAGAGGAAAAAGGAAAAAGTAACTTACAAATGCTCCCTTCATTTCATTAAAGACAACGCCTTTAAAGATCAAGGGTGTTTGGGGGTCACTTGGATTCTCATGCTCTAGCCTCCATCCTTCCTGCCTAAACAGTGAAAAATTGGTGATGAGATGATAAAGACTCCAGTACTTAGAAAACAAGAGTAACTAGTGAACCCTTACTTACCAGAAGTCCAGTTCCCGTAAGCATGGGAAAAAGGCTGCATCCAAATACACCGAGAGGAGATTCTGAAAATCCTTGGGGTTTTGTGTGGAAAAAGGATACAGAGTATAGTCACTAGCTGGGGACAAATGAAAAGTAAGAGTTAAAACACAGCAGATACTACCAAAGTTACTTTCGAGCTTAATTTCACCATTAAAAAAAGGCTCCTGCATCCAGAACACAAACGATACAATCCTATGCTTTGGGCCTGGTAATCTTACTAGTCTGACTCTTTCACTTACCTTTGCGTTTCAACTTTTCCAGATCTGACACACTGTCTGTCACTTATGAGCACTTAGTACTACTTCTTTCAGTAAACATTTACAGTTTCAGCTTTTCTGGAGATCTTAAAATAATCTCATTCTACAAAGGGATGGTTTCATTGTTCTCTTTCAAATGCACGCACTCTGCTCCAACAGCACTTCATTGTCACATTCACCGAAAGTAACACCCAAACAGCAGCTACATAATCAAGGTGAATACTAATGCTACACAGGCTCTGCACTTTTCCAGAAAGAACGCACACATCATTTACTGAAAACCTCACTTCTGATCATCTGAACATCCTGTGGCTCTTCTAAAAGATTAAATTTCTGACATCTTTCCAGGGTTGGCAAACTAACTTTCAAGGCACATGCATGCTTCCGGTACATGTGTGTAGCTCTGAAGTATAACCGAGAAATTTTAGAAGACATTATTCAGATAATAGTGATTTCATTTGTTGCAAAAAAAACCCAAAACTATTATTTATGACTCTTGAATAATTTTTAAATTGTTGTAAGGGGCAGGATTGGCTCTTCCATCTCAAAAGTTTGCTGACCCAAGAGACAAGTCAGCCAGGGTGCAGTATAGCACTGACAAAGCACTTAATATTCCTCTGGTTCCCTGAGGCTTCCCCACCCCCAATATCATAACCCCAGCTCTACGTTACAAATCCGGCGAGACTGGGGCATGTATACTGGTTCAGACAAGAGCTCTCAACACACAGAATCTGGGACAGGCACAGAAATAGAAGTAGCGATATCAAGAGGGTAAGGAGAAGGTGGGGGGAAAGGGGGAGAAATGGGGAAACCGATCGCCATGATCGACATACTAACCGCCTCCCCCCCCAAAAAAGGGGGAAGAACAACAGAAACGTGGGTGAAGGGAGACAGCGGTCGATGTAAGATATGAAAATAATAATAATTTATAATTTGTCAAGAGGATGAGAAGGTGGGATGGAAAAAAGAGGAGTTAATACCATGGGCCCAAACAGAAAGAAAATGTTTAGAAAATGATGATGGCAACATATGTACAAATGTGCTTGTTTTAACTGATGTATAGATTGTTACAAGAGCTATAAGAGCCCCCAATAAAATGATTTTTTAAATACATAAATAAAGTGCTAATGGCAACAAAAAAAGTTTGCTGACCCGAGTTAGAAAACAAGTAATTTACTCTGGTGCAAATTCCTCTATTTATTCTGACAAACTGATTTTGGGTAAGGACATCTGTCTCACCTGTGAAGGCATTCATGAACGTCGATAATGACCTATTTAACATTTTGAAGAAAGGATCTCTACAGGGGAATTTCTGGGAACCACAGAGAACTGTGTGCTCAAGAACGTGGGGAACACCAGTACTATCCATTGGAGTCGTACGAAACTGCACACTGAGAGAAAGGAAAAAGAACACACAAATGAGAAATGGCAAGGCTTCACACTAACACAGGTTTTAAACGTGTAAGGAGCTCAGATCATTAGAATTAATCATTTTAGTGTCATGAGCTTTCAATAAAATGTTTCTAACTATAATAGAGAAGATCATTGCTTCACACTAGAGCAGTTTAATCAATACAACCAAGGATCTCAATTCAAGTAATCTTTTCCTTATATTTTTGGACTCTACTGCCAACGAGAATAAAATTTTACTGAGATATCATTTTAAGTTACTTAGGATACAGTAGGTAGTTTAAATAGAAAATATTTTAAATCAAAAGTAGCTTAAAAAACAACCAAAAAAATAGCTTTTTGAGCATGTTTTTGCAATGCACCACATACCTAAACAAATTATTTTTGTCTTCTCTTGCGACATGTAAATATTTAGCACCTGTGCTGTCATGACTGAGTTTCACAGCAGTCAAGAAGAGTTCAGGAATAGGTGTTACCTACATTTCAAACAAAAAATATGGTTATTTTAAGTTAACTTAGAGGACTGATGTGTTTGCCTCATAAAATAGACAATATGGGAACATAATCTTTCAGGGTTGAAAGAATATCAGAAACTATGTGTTAAAATTTTTTATCTTCCCAAACTGTTAGGACCATCAATGAGGGAATTAGGACCAACTTGAGAATTTTGGCACAGGGAATACATAGGCTATCAGAAATAGGGAAGGACATAAACACATAGGAGGCACAAATTGACAAATGGGATATACTGAAGATAAAACACCTGTGTACATCGAAAGAATTCACCAAGAGAGTAATAAGACGGTCCATGGACTGGGAAAACATCTTTAGCAATGACACATCAGACAAAGGTTTTATTACTAAAATCTACAATACTCTGCTACCTTCCAAAAAGAAAAAACTAATTGCCCACTGAGGAGGTGGGCAAAGGACCTGAATAGAAGTTTCACAGGGGCAGAAATCCAAATGGCCAATAA